AGGCTGAGACTAAAGTTGTGTTTTTACTTTTGGAATAAGTTGTGTTTTTCTTTTAATGTGAAAAAGAGGCTAATTGCTGCTACTTTCTTATCCATGTAAGTAATTACTCATCTTTAATAAAGGAGAATAAAAATAACCCTAGGTTTCTGTTTAGTACTATTGCTAGACTAATTAAAAGTCCCATCTCTGTTGAACCATGTATCCCTACAACTATAAGTAGTGATGACTTCATGAGATTCTTTATAAATCAAATTATTTCAATTAGAGAGAAAATTCAAACCATCCTTCCTTCTACTATCTCTAGTCCCCTGTCAAATGAGGCAACTTTAAAAATTTCACTAGAGCCTGATTTATGTTTGGACAGTTTTTGTCCTGTTGAGCTCTGAATTGTCAAAAATAATAATCTCATCCAAACCATCCACATGCCTGCTAGATCCCATCCCAACCAGACTGTTTAAAGAGGTATTTCCCCTAATTAATGTCCACATTTTGGATCTTCTTAATTTGTCTTTAATGATGGTTATGTACCACAGCGCTTTAAGGTTGCTGTAATTAAACCTTTACTTAAGAAGTCTGATCTTGATTCAGAAATTCTGGCCAGCTATAGACCTATATCTAATCTAACTTTCATCTAAAAAATTCTAGAGAAAATAGTTGCAGGTCAGTTACGTGAACATCTACAAAGAAATAATCTGTTTGAAGAGTTTCAGTCAGGGTTTAGAGCTCATCATAGCACAGAAACAGTACTAGTAAAAGTCACTAATGATATTCTCATGGCCTCAGACAATGGACTTGTGTCTATACTGGTCCTGTTAGACCTCAGTGCTGCATTTGATGCAGTTGATCACAATATTTTACTACAGAGGCTTGAATATGATGTTGGGATTACAGGAACAGCTCTAAAATGGTTTAAATCATATCTATCTGATAGATTCCAGTTTGTAAATGTAAATAATAAATCTTCTTCATACACCAAAGTTAGTCATGGAGTTCCTCAGGGCTCAGTGCTTGGGACAATACTCTTTACTTTATATATGCTTCCATTAGGTAAAGTTATTAAACAGCATGGGATAAATTTTCATTGTTATGCTGATGATACTCAGTTATATTTGTCCATTAAACCCAATGAATCCAATCAGCTACTTAGACTACAAGCATGTCTTAAAGACATAAAAACCTGGATGACCCTTAATTTTCTCCTGTTGAACAGACAAGACTGAGGTTTTGGTTTTTGGACCTGAGCACATTAGGAATGAATTTTTCAGTCTTTCTCCCTCCTTAGATGCATTAATCTGTCCTCCAGCTCTAATGTTAAAAATCTTGGTGTTATTTTTGATCAGGACATGTCTTTTACCCCCCACATTAAAAACGTTACTAGAACCTCCTCCTTCCACCTGTGTAATATCACTAACATTAGAAACATCTGATCTAAAAATGATGCAGAAAAACTGGTTCATGCATTTGTATCGTCTAGACTGGACTATTGCAATGGTTTATTATCTGGATGTCCAAATACTTCTTTAAAATGTCTTCAGTTGATCCAAAATGCTGCTGCCAGAGTCTTAACTGGAGTTAGTGGGAGAGATCATATTTCTCCAGTTTTAGCTTCTCTCCATTGGCTCCCTGTCAAATCCAGAATAGAATTCAAAATCTTACTTCTAACCTACAAAGCTCTCAACAACCTAGCTCCATCTTATATTACAGATCTTATTGTTCCATATTTTCCTAACAGAGCACTTCGCTCCCAGACTGCAGGTTTACTTGTGGTTCCTAGAATTTACAAAAACAGAATGGGAGGCAGATCTTTCAGTTATCAGGCTCCTCTCTTGTGGAACCAACTTCCAATCTCTGTCCATGAGGCTGACACATTATCCAGTTTTAAAACTAGGCTTAAGACTTTCCTTTTTGATAAATCCTATAGTTAGGGTCGGCTTGGGTTTCCTGAGCTGTCCCTTAGTTATGCTGCTATAGGCTTAGACTGCTGGAGGACAAACTGACCACAATTTTAACTCTACTACTGTCATTACTTACTCTGCTCAACCTGTTTTGTATTTGTAATTATTTTTTCTATCCTTAACATGTTTTTTTGTCTTCAGATACACCTGGACCTATACCTGGACTTGGACCTATACCTGGACCTACCATTCTGTGCTCGTCTGTCTCTCCTTCCTGTCCTCTCAACCAGCCGGTCAAAGCAGATGGCTGCTTGTCCTGAGCCTGGTTCTGCTGGAGGTTTCTTCCTGTTAAAAGGGAGTTTTTCTTTCCACTGTTGCCACTGTGCTTGCTCAGGATGGGAGACTGCAACGAAGCCAAGATTCATCTTGTCTGCTGGATTCCTTAGATAGAGAACTTTGCTAGTTGGCTTTTATGTATGTGAATGTTTCTGTAAAGTGCCCTGAGACAACTTTGTTGTGATTTGCGCTATATAAATAAACTGAATTGAATTGAATATAATTGTAGTACCCCTTTTCCATTAGTGCCGGTACGGCACGGTTCGACTCGGCTCGGCACGGTTCCAAGGCTTTTCTACTAACAATTATTCATGGAACTGGCCCTTTTTTCATGACCTTTCTCTCTGGGGTTCCAAGAGTACCGAGCTGGCCTTAAAACATGACGTCAGAACACCGTCGGTCACTGATTGGTCAGTGGGTGTCACAGGTTGTTTGAGAAACTTTCATAACAACCTGATCCGCCATTTGCAATAATTTATTTTTTAAAGAAAAGTTATTTGAGTAATTCTCAAAACAGTGTTCTGGTAGTTCTTATTTCTGTTGTACAACTACCAGTTTATACCTTTTACACATAAGTTTGTAACTATTTACTTTGTTCTTTTATTATTTACTTTATTCTACAAACCGGATTCCAATAAAGTTGGGACACTAAACAAATAGTAAATAAAAACTGAATGCAATGATGTGGAGGTGCCAACATCTAATATTTTATTCAGAATAGAACACAAATCACAGATCAAAAGTTTAAACTGAGAGAATGTATCATTTTAAGGGAAAAATCTGTTGTTTCCAAATTTCTTGGCGTCAACAAATCCCAAAAAAGTTGGGACAAGTCCATTTTTACCATTGTGTGGCATCCCCCCTTCTTCTTACAACACTCAACAGACGTCTAGGGACAGAGGAGACCAGTTTCTGAAGTTTAGAAATAGGAATGCTCTCCCATTCATGTCTAATACAGGCCTCTAACTGTTCCATCATCTTGGGCCTTCTTTGTCGCACCTTCCTCTTTATGATGCACCAAATGTTCTCTATAGGTGAAAGATCTGGACTGCAGGCTGGCCATTTCAGTACCCTGATCCTTTTCCTTCGTAGCCATGATGTTGTGATTGCTGCAGAATGTGGTCTGGCATTATCGTGTTGAAAAATGCAGGGTCTTCCCTGAAAGAGATGATGTCTAGATGGGAGCATATGTTGTTCTAGAACCTGAACGTAGTTCTCTGCATTAATGGTGCCTTTCCAGACATGCAAGCTGCCCATGCCACAAGCGCTCATGCAACCCCATACCATCAGTGATGCAGGCTTCTGAACGGAGCGTTGATAGCAACTTGGGCTATCCTTGTCCTCTCTGGTCCGGATGACATGGCGTCCCAGTGTTCCATAAAGAAGTTCAAATCGTGACTCATCTGACCACAGAACAGTCTTCCATTTTGCCACACTCCATTTTAAATGACCCCAGACCCAGTGCAAACGTCTGAGCTTGTGGAGCTTGCTTAGAAATGGCTTCCTCTTTGCACTGTAGAGTTTCAGCTGGCAACAGCAGATGGCACGGTATGCTTTCTGGAAGTATTCCTGAGCCCATTCTATTATTTCCTTGACAGTGGCATTCCTGTTTGAGGTGCAGTGATGTTTAAGTGCCCGGAGATCACGAGCATCCAGTAGAGTTTTACGGCCTTGACCCTTATGCACAGTGATTCTTCCAGATTCTCTGAATCTTTTGATGATGTTATGCACGGTTGATGATGATAACTTAAAAGTCTTTGCTATTTTATGCTGGGTAACACAATTCTGGTATTGTTGCACCATATTTCTGGGCAACAATGGTGGAATTGGTGATCCTCTTACCATCTTGGCTTCTTAGAGACACTGACACTCTGAGAAGCTCTTTTTATACCCAATCATGTTGTCAATTGACCTAATTAGTGTTAATTGGTCTTCCAGCTGTTCGTTATATGTTCAATTTCCTTTTTCCAGCCACTTATTGCTACTTGTCCCAACTTTTTTGGGATTTGTTGACACTGTGAAATTTTGAATCAACATATTTTTTCCTTTAAAATGTTACATTTACTGAGATTAAACTTTTGATCTGTCATCTATGTTATATTACAAATAAAATATTGACATTTGCAATTTCTAGATCATTGCATTCAGTTTTTATTCACAATTTATTTAGTGTCCCAACTTTTTTGGAACCCGGTTTGTAGATAACATGATGTAAAAACTAACCTTTTCCAAATAGTTGAGGATTTCAAACTGGAATTTTAATTATTAACCACTTATCAACCAGTAGCACCCTCCCAGCTTCTGAACATAATTTTAACAAGGTTGAGTCAGGTCCTCTGGACATATTCTTCTCTGTTGATCAATAAGAATAAAATCCATCTAGAGGACCTGACTCAGACTTGTAAGATTCATCTACTTGGGTTATTGAGCAGCATCAGGATATAATTACATTTTATTATTTTGTGGGACATCTGTGAATTGGTCTCTGATTCTCATAATCAAAATTATTTTGGCTAACATCAAATTTGATCAAACATATGAACAGTATCAATTTAAGCATACTTTCTGTTGTCTTTGCAAAAAATGTCAGAAATTGCAATACTAACATTAAATTAACAAGGAAACAACCTGTGTGTTCATTTCCTTTGTGAAAGCTTAATTCACCAAGCTTTACATGTAATAAATGTGCACAGTAGCTCTTCAGCCACAACAAAACATTCTGTAAGGTTTCATTTCATCACCTGGAGTCCGAGAGAAAGGCATGCTTACCCTGGAGGAAGTCAGGTTTAGGTCCCCCCAGATAACAAAGCCTGCAGCTCCTAGAGCAGCACTCTCCCCAATAGTCTGGACCAAGTCTTTCTGTGGAACGCACACAGGACAGATGGAGACGTCACACAGATGAGATGGACAAGTCACACATATGGACATGTCACACAATTAAATTCATTTCAATTCAGTTTACTGTATTTATATAGCACCAAGTCACAACAGAAGTCGTCCCAGAGCACTGAACAGAAATATTCATATACCTGTATATAAAAATAAATTATTATTTATCTGAGGAGCACACTGTTTTGAATTTAACTCCATCACAGAACTCTCATCTTGAACAAGCTTGAAGGTGACAGTGGAAAGGAAAAACTCCCTCATGAGGAAGAAACCTTTAGCAGAACCAGGTTCAGGACAAGCGGCCATCTTCTTCAACCGACTGGGTTTAGTAAGAACAGATACACAATGGCAGGTCAAGAATCACATGTTCAGATAGAAATAGTATCAAATGAAAACTATTCAATTTTAGCAAATCCATCCATTATCCATTAAATCCATTATCGTTTACCCGCTTCTTCCATTTTGGGTCATGGGGGTCAACGGTGTCCATATCCAGCAATCACTGTGCGAGGGGCGGGGAAAACCCTGGACAGGTCTCCAGTCCATCACAGGGACACACAGACACAAACAAGACAAACAACCATTCACTTTCTCTCTCACACCTAGGGACAATTTAGAGTCACAAATCAGCCTAACACGCATGTTTTTAGTCTGTGGGAGGAAACAGCAGACCCCGGAAAAAAAACACACAAGCACGAGAAAAACATGCAGACTCCAGACAGAAGGACCCCAGGTCCAACCGGGGATTGAACCCAGGACCTTCTTGCTGTGAGGCAACAGTGCTAACCACTGATCCATCGTGCTGCAAGCCCTAAGGACTCAGACTGAGCAAGCATGCAGTCTGAGAGCAAAGTGCTCTGTTGGGAAAATATGGAACAATAAGATCTCAAATATAAGCTGGAACTAGGTTGTTGAGAGCTTTGTAGGTTAGAAGTAAGATTTTGAATTCAATTCTAGATTTCAGGGATTCAAGGATTCAAGGTTATTTAATTGTCATACACACCACATGTGGGGTGTGGAACAAAATTATGTACACAGGGTCCCAGCTACATCCACCAAAAGTATCAAAATGTAAAAGAAAAACATTAATAAGATCTAAGATATGACCTAAGAAAAATTTTAACTTAAGATACACTAAGCACTAACAGCATAAAAAACAATACGCCCAACAGTAGCACGAACAGTTTGTGTGAGCAGATGAGCACGAATGAACACATCAACATGAAACAGATCAGCAGCAACATGATGTGATTTTTCACAGTGATTATTCTGGTTAGAGATTCATGAGTCTAACAGCCTCAGGGTAGAAGCTGTTCCTCAGTCTAGTGGTTCTACACTTAATGCTCCTCAACCTCCTTCCTGAGGGGAGTGGGGCAAAAAGTGTGTGTGCTGGGTGAGTGTGGTCCTTCATGATGCAGGTGCCCCTCTTCCTGCATCTAGAGGTGTAGATGTCTGTGATGGTGGAGACTGACTCCAACATCTTCTGTGCAGCCTTCACCACTCTCTGCAGAGCTTTACTTTCTGCAGCTGTGCAGCCTCCATGCCACACGTTGATGCTGGAGCACAGGATGCTCTCCACTGCACACCTGTAGAAGGAGGTGAGGACTGAGCTTCCCAGACCAGCTCGCCTCAGCCGTCTGAGGAAGTAGAGTCTCTGATGAGCTTTCTTGATCAGGCTGGTGGTGTTGTTGCTCCAGCTGAGGTTGTCATTCATGTGTACACCCAAGTACTTGTAGCTGGAGACCACTTCCACCACAGATCCTCTCATGTTCAGGGGGGTGTAGATGTTTTTGTTCCTTCTGAAGTCCACAATCATCTCCTTTGTCTTCTTCACATTGATGTGAAGGTTATTCTCTTTGCACCAGCTCTCCAGGTGTTCCACCTCTTGCCTGTAGCTGGACTCATCATTGTTTGTGATGCATCCCACCACCGCTGTATCGTCTGCAAACTTTACAATGTGACAGCCTGGATGGGTAGCTGCACAATCATACGTGAGCAGAGTAAACAGGAGGGGGCTCAACACACATCCCTGAGGAGAGCCAGTGCTGAGGGTTATGGTGGAGGAGGAGAAGTTGTGGATCCTCACTAACTGTGGTCTGTTTGTTAAGAAGTCTAGTACCCAGTTGCAAATGGAGGGGCTTAGTCCTAGTGTGGATAGTTTGTCCATCAGGGTTTGGGGGATCATGGTGTTGAAGGTGGATGTGAAGTCCACAAAGAGCATATGGACGTAAGAGTTTTTCTGCTCCATGTGGTTGAGTGCAGTGTGGACCACAGAGGAGATGGCGTCCTCTGTTGATCGGTTCTCACGGTATGCGTACTGGTGAGGGTCCTCGTTCATGTTGATGGTTGTTTTGATGTGAGTCATGACCAGTTTTTCTAAGCATTTAGCAACTATCGGGGTGAGGGCCACTGGCCGATAGTCATTCAGACCAGTCACTGTAGAGCTTTTTGGGACTGGGATGATGGTGGCAGTCTTCAGGCAGGTGGGAACTGTCTCCAGGGTAAGTGAGGTGTTAAAGATGTCTGCCAGCACCTCGCAGAGCTGATCAGCACATTCCTTCAACACTTTTCCGGGGATGTTGTCTGGGCCAGTTGCTTTGTGCGGATTAATCCTCCTGAAGGTACTCCTTACTTCTGCTGAGGTCACGCTGAGATGCTCTTCATCCGGTGGTGAGGTGAGTCTGGTGCTGGGTGGTCTGTTCGGGTCTTCAAAGCGTGCATAGAACTTGTTGAGGGCATCAGGCAGAGATGGGTCTTTGGGGCATTGTTTGCTCCTTCCTTTATAATCTGTTATGCACTTAATGCCCCTCCACATGCTCCGAGGGTCTTGTGAGATGAATTGACCCTCGATCCTCTGTGCATATGTGGCCTTGGCCCTCTTAATACCAGCAACCAGTTATTTTCTTGTCCTACTCAGCTCCTCTGAGTTTCCAGACCTGAAGGCAGTGTTCCTGGCTTCCAGCAGGGTACACAACTCTGCATTCAGCCATGGTTTTCTGTTTGGGTAGCTTTTAACATTTCTGATAGTGGAGACAGTTTCAGTACATGTACTAATGTAACCCAGAACTAAGGATGTGTATTGGTCAAGATCAAGCGAACCTCCATTTTCAGCAGCTTCTCTGAAAACCTGCCAATCTCTTCGGTCAAAACAATCTCTCAGTATGGGGCCACTGTCTTGGATCTAGCATTTAACTTCCTTTTGTACCGGTCTGGAGCGTCTCAGCGGGGGCATGTATGCAGGAGCCAGGAAGATTGAGATGTGGTCTGACAGTCCTAGGTGGGGGCGGGGTTAGGCTTTGTATGCATCTTTTACGTTCGTGTAAACACAGTCCAGCGTCTTGTCTCCACGTGTCGGAATCGCCACATGCTGATTAAAGCTTGGGAAACAGTCCGTTAGATTCACGTGGTTAAAGTCTCCGGCTACAACGTAAAGAGCCTCGGGGTGTTTGCTCTGCAGCGAGCTGATGATATCATGTAACTCCTACAGTGATTCATTAGCATTAGCGTCCGGAGGAATGTAAACAACTGTGATAAAAGTCACCGTGAACTCGCGGGGTAGATAATGTGGCCGACATTTCACTGTTATTTGCTCCAAAACCTTCGAGCATGAGCTATTTACAACAGTACAGTTCATGCACCAACTTTTACTCACGTAAATGCACACTCCGCCTCCCCGTGATTTCCCCGTTAGCTCGCTGCAGCGGTCCGCTCGAAGAAAAAGTCTGTCATCCAGCTGGAAGACTGTATCCGGCGATTCACTTGTAATCCTTGTTTCCGTGAGGCAAAGCACCGCACACTTCTTAATCTCTTCTGAGGCGCCCGCTCTCAGACGAAGTAAATCCACCTTGTTGTCCAACGAATGGACATTCGACAGAAAGAGAGACGGCATGGGGAGTTTACTGGCTTTAGCGTTAGCTCGTAGCCTCACCATAACCCCCGCCCGGCATCCTCTCCTCTTAAGCCGGGAGCAGCGCTTCCTCTTCTGCCCGCTGGAATGCCTCTGCTGCAGCTTCCAGGTAGATGACTTTAAGTTATACATTCTGCCGAGCATAGTTTTGAGTTTGTTGCTGATTTCTGCTATATTTCGTGGCAAATCCGCTCCTATTCTCATCAGTTCGGTTCGGCTATAGTTCACACGCATAAATCGCGCTGAGTCAGGCACAGAGCCAATATCAAAACTTCTAAAAACTGGGATGGTACCAGGAGCCTGTGAAGCTGCAACTGCTCTGAGCGCGGCCATCTTGGCAAGAGCATACAGTCCATACAGTTATCTCATGAGTTCATAACACAAACTGCACATTAGTTTTTTTCAATTTTGCTTAAAATTTGAGTTTTTTTTTTTTCATTTTTTAAATTCAGAATAATTTCAGGTTCAAACCTTTTGGCATCTTTCTTTCACACAGACATAAACTGCTCATTATATACTTTGTATTGAACATTAATCATTGTATTAAATGTACTCACTGTGGTAAGGAAGGCCAGGGCTTCATCTCTGTAGCCTAGCCTGAGGTACACGTAGGTAGGAAGGTCATATTTCTTGGAGGTTAGTGAGGCAATGCGTAGCGACTCCCGGATCCTGTGCTGAGTGAAGTGCAGGTTACTGATGCTGTTGGTATGACTTTTCCTAATGGCCACAGAAGGAAACAGTGCTGTACTGCTGTTCCATAGCCACAGCAGCTCATTGTTTCTCAGCCTCTCCAGAAGAGGGCAGAGGCCAGTGTAATTCTTCTCATGGAGATTGTAGTTGTGACAGTCAGGGTAGAGGTAAAAACCCCAAAGTGCGCTGGGTCGAAGGTGTGTTCCTAACTGGATAGTTCGCTGCATAAATGCTTTGGCACTTTTTTCAAAGCACCGCTGTGCCAGTGCTTCCACCTGAGCTGCCGTCACATTAACATACACCTTCATAGTGAGTTCTTTAGACTTATGTCTGTAGATGTCTTTCTTGTGCCAGTTACGGTCCCACTGAGGTCGCCAGAACTCCCAGTCAATGACAGCTAGGCCACGGAAGTCCTCTTCAGGTATGAAGTGAATGATGTCCTGGTAGGCCTTGAGCAGGTGTAGGTCCAGGCTGCAGTTCTGAGGGAGGCCACCATGGATGGCAATGCCTTGAGAGGTGTAGTGAGGGTAGTAGCCCAGCCGGTTTGCATAAAAAATAGTCACATTCTGGCCTGTCCAGTCAGCACGCGGACTTCCTTGGATGTGAAAAAGATGATCAAGATTAGTTGTGATGTTGTACTTGATGGTGCACATGTCTAGAGGGGCATTCCAGGCAGCAATGAAGGGCTTCTGACTAATCAGTGGAAGCTTTGCAGGTTTTTCACCAAAGGCGACATGGAAAAATAATAACAGCCAATAGCAGATGAGAGCAACAGGTACTACATGGTGGGAGGATGTCCCGCCTGCTGGCAACACAAGCATTCTGGGGCTCAAGCGTGTCATCTGTCAATCATACTGATGAGAGAAAAAAAAATGGGAAAAAAGAAAAGATTACTATTTTAAATCTTTTAAGTAAAATTTTCAAAAATTGCTGCCTTTTTTAAGGTTCTCGTGAACGTTAAGTATTCTATCGCTATGGGCTTGTTATTAATTAAACTAAAGTTGTTTTCACAAGGTAAATTGAGTTTAGACATTTTGCTATGGTTTAAAAAGTTGTGAACTCCAAACAGAGAGACAACAGGCAGGTTAGAAACCCAGAACCAGAGTGAACCAGCTAATCCACCCATATCTGCCATGTTTTTTTGTGCCCAGCCTCCATCCTTGAGTGCAACAAAAGATCATAAAAACCTTCATGATAAATATTCTGTGTAAATTTAAATACTTACAAATAGTTTAAATTTAGGCCATGTTCAAACATCTTTCTTCCACCATTTCAAGAAACGTTTTCATCAGACAAGAAAAAAGCACTATTTGTGTTTATAGGGAAATAATAAACATCACCACTGGACTTTTTCACTTGTGTTTGAAATATATTTCTATCAGTATTATATTTTGTTATTATTATTAATTTGTGTACATCTACGGATACATATTAAACCAATGTAGAACCTTTATTTCCGGGTTTTTGTTTCTGGTACGAAGGAGTTTTAGTTACACGCCTGCACTCTGCAACAAGCATAGATATGTAGCGTCCATCCTTCGAAGAACCTTAAGACAAATGTCCTCAGAGACACGACGTCATGCCCCTTTTCCACTGTCACAGCGCGGGTCGGATATTTCCGGCTTGACTCGCGTTTGAGGTCTTTTCCACTGTTCCTGGGACCGGCTCGCCTCCCTAAATTCTGGCCCGGCTTCTCAAGGAGTCCAAGCGAGCCGCGCCGTGATGTCAGAAACACTGTCGGTCACTGACTGGTCGGGGGGAGGAGTCTGGAGTCTTTCCAAACAACCCGATCCGCCATTTTTCCTCTACCGCTTGCCATTAGCATAACTCGAGGAGCGTATCTTTTAGTATTTTGAAGCTATACAAAAACAATAATGTCAAAGCCGTGGTCAAATGCAGAAGTGCAGGTGTTGTTGTGCTTGGTGGCCGACGAAAAAAGACAAAGCGAGCTAGATGGAGTGATTGGAGGGTGGTTTGGACACGGCCACTGCTCTACTTGAATCATTTATAGAAGATGGTGAGTGTTTTCTAACTTTAAACATATTTTAAGTTACTCATTCCATCGGTTCTGAACATATTTTTAACTAACAAAAGAGGCTGACGCCATAATAGGACAACATCGGTGCTACGATGCTAAGCTAATTTGCATAAACTCTATCTGTCCTCCGGTCCCGTTTCTCACTGTATTTTATCCAGAACATATTTCAGCATGTGATGGTTCGTCTCTAAATTCCACATTAAACCCTCCAAGCCTCCCGGCTTCTGCTCCTGCTCCATCAGAGGAGTCTGCACCTGACAGGTCTCCATCACAGCCCAGCTGCACCTCACAGAGCAGCACAACGCTGCAGCTTCTGTGCTTGGTAAGAACAGATGCAACATGTTCCACATCACTTTATTTGTGCCGATAAGGACTTTATTTTATTTTATTTTTAAAGTAAAAAAAATAAAATGTAGAATAAATACTGAATGCTCACCAGATGTTGAACATGTGGTGGGATGAAATTATGTACACAGGGTCCCAGTTACAGACAACAAAATGTAAAAGAAAAACAGTAATAAGATGTAAGATATGAATTAAGAAAAATATCAACTAAAAAACATCTCCTAATAATACACTAAGCACTAATAGCAGTAAACAATCAAAACAATACGTCAAACAGCAACATGAACTTGAGTTTGTGCAGCCTTATGAATCTCTAACCAGGATAATCATGTTGCTGCTGATCAGTTTCATGTTGCTGCTGATCAGTTTCATGTTGCTGCTGATCAGTTTCATGTTGCTGCTGATCGGTTTCATGTTGCTGCTGATCGGTTTCATGTTGCTGCTGATCAGTTTCATGTTGCTGCTGATCAGTTTCATGTTGCTGCTGATCAGTTTCATGTTGCTGCTGATGTGTTTCATGTTGCTGTGTTCATTCGTGCTCATCTGTTCACACAGACTCATGTCCGTGCTGCTGTTCGGCGTATTGTGTTTATTGTTTTTATGCTATTAGTGCTTAGCATATATTTAGTTGATGTTTTTCTTAGTTCATATCTTAGATCTTATTACTGTTTTTAATTTTACAATTTATTGTTGGATGTAACTGGGACCCTGTGAACATAATTTTGATCCACCACATGTACCACATGTGGTGCGAATGACAAAGAATATCTGTATCTGTATAATACTTTCTGATTCATATATCCATTGTTATTATTATATTATTTTCATTATTTTTAAATCCATTTATTTTTCATTTTCTTATTTTATCAGTTTATTAATATTAATATATCTATTATAGCTGTTAGCTGCACCTTTCTTTGTTTTATGCATTTATTCAAAAACAGTATGTAGCTTGAATTAACCACCTGTTTCTTCTTTCTAGTGAAGAGAAAGAGAAAAGAGTCCAGTAAAGAAAAGTCTTATTTCATCACTGTGTAGTGAACTAGGCCTCAGGTCAAATCTGGCCTTGAGGGGCCTTCCTGGGACAAGAACTGTATTTCATTGATTTAAGTCCATCCAGAAGACTTTCTAAGTGTCCTACACTGATCAATTGAAAGAACACTCTCTTTTTCTATTATCATTACTATTTTACAAATGTTTTGATAATCGAAGTGTGTTAGTTCAAACCATTTTTAAATGTTGAAGTGAACTACTCATTTTTAAATCAACTGTGAAACAGTAATAACGATTTTTAATCCTCATTCAAAGTGGAAATCAAGTTAGAATATGTTACAGAGTAATGATTCAATTTCTTGATCGTCTGTCTGAAATGAGCAAGTTGTGTAAGTTGGTCAAAGTTCAAGTTTCGGTCAACTGCAAGTTTACTGAAAAAGAAATGTCATGTTTAACTTTTACAGGAAGATACTAGAGAATTGACTCCACGAAGTCTGAGTTCTTCATAATATCTTCTGTCTGTTCTTAAACAATCTAATCTTTTTCCTTGACTTTTTAATAACACCTTACATCACAAAAACACACCTCTGTTTGGTCCAACCAACCAATCAGAAAGTCCTCAAATGAACCGGAAGTGACCTTTTTTAAAAGGTGCAACACTTCCTAGTTCAGGGAGGTTCCAGCTCCAGTCGAGTTCTGGAGAGCTCAGTAGTTCTGAGAAGTTCTCGGCAGTTCTAGGAAGAACGCTGAGGAGAACGCTGAGAGAATGCTATGAGTTGGTTCCGAGAGCAGCAGAGTCCAGAATGCTCAGGACATCTGCGACTAAGCTGAACAAGAGAAGTTCAGAGGAATTATGAAGAAGTCTGTTCTAGGACGATCTCACGACTCCTGAGGTTTAGCTGTTCTTACGGAGACGCTGGAAGAGTTGAAAGGAAAGCTCTACACCAACGCTGAAACTATCATCTGCAAAGGTAAAGAGTCGATCTCAACCAAAGTGTACCGTTGGGTTAAGCTGGTCCAAAGGAGCGTGCTGTTCTGGTTATAACAGACAAATTCCCTCACCCATCTCTCTCAAGATAAACTTCATTTTCCATCTTTAAAATTCTTCTTTTTGCTAGAAATCATTCCAGATATTTTCAGAAATGTCTGTTGTGAGGCAAGGTTTTCAACCATCGCCGTATGGTTAATCAAATTGTACAGCTTGCTAACTAAGCCATGTTGTTATTTTAATTTAGCCAAATTAATGTAAATGTGTGATGTGTTTAAATCGTTTTTAAATAAATGACCCACTGTTGTTGGTGAGTCAAAGATAAACACGTTTCCGTCCACATTTAATAATTCAACACACAACATTATTCAGTCCAGAAAAATGAAAGAATCCGTTTAATTTATGAATATATCATGCATATGTTCATCTACATCTGGTGGCCTCGTACGCTTCATAAATGGACTGTATTCGTGTGGCAATTGATTTTACACGTTGGCATGAGAAGAGTGCAGAGTTGCTGTGTGAAACGCAGCGTTTTGAGCTGCGACGCTTGGAGAAAATACAGCTATGTTTTGCAGCTGGTGATGTTTTGAAAGCTGAAATTAAAAGGTCAATGTGTCTTTTTGAAAGCTGAATTTGTACATCTGTTGTGTGTGACAAAGTTGATGAGCTGTGGAAACGTTATTCTGTTTAAACTGTGGTCCAGACGTGGTTCTGGTCAGGCTCGGTTCTGATACGGTTCGAACGAGTCGTGTTTGAAGAAAGAGACGTTTTTAAGACCGGAGCGCCGCCTCCGTGAAGCTTTGGGAGTTGATTAGTTACATTTTTAACAGAAAATAGTACATTTTGACAGTTTAAAAGACGAAAAGTTGTCTGGAATGTTTCATGCTAAATGCTACACGCTAGCTGGAAAAACGATCCGTGATTGGTTGAAAACGGCCGTGGGGAAAGCTTTGATATGCTGAGAAATGAGTGACGTGTCTGTCGTCACTTCCTCTGACGTGCCAGTTCGTAAAACTCACCCCCGTTGCTGTTCTGTCATTGGTAGATTCAGTCACGTGACCCAGAAATGAGTCTCGGTGCAACCAAAGCCTTTTCTGTGCTTAAAATCACTAAATGAAGCTGCCACATGTCCCCAAAACTCATGTTTCATGCAAAGAAGTCGTGCTTGTTGAAACAACGCCACGTTTAAGCTTTAAATCCGTTCAGAAATGTTGATTTAGCCGAGTTTAGCCGATGCTAATTTTAAGCTAAGAAGCTAACGACAGGATGTCAACAGAACGTCCACAGGAAGTTGTCATAGGCTCCTGCTGGTATAAAGCTAACACTGCCACCTGCTGTGAAAGAGGAGTATAACAGTTTTTCTGCAGAAAGTCTGAAGCTCCTCATGAAATTTTTTCTTTTTCTGTTCACCAACCTGGGTTAATGAGTAACTGTTAAACTAGCGAATTTCTGGA